AAGAGAGGAACCAGGGAGAGCAGTTGGGGGCATAAACCAACTTGGGCAACTTTATGGCAATAAACCAGACAAGAAGTAATGATGGCTTGGAGCAGGGTGGTAGCAATGGATAAATAGGACAGTAGATGGACTGGGCTGGAGAAATGGCCTGGAGGTAAAGCCAGCCGCACCTGCTGATGAGAGGCAGGGGTGAGGCTGAGAGAAGAACCCAGGAGGCTCCCAGGCTCCAGGGTTAAACCAACCCTGTGTTTTGACCACCATCTCTTGGCCCTGGGGTTGGTGGGAGGAGAGGGGGAGGGAGACAGATGATGACAGTAAAACTTTTCCCTAACCCCACTTAAAGCTTCAGGCTGAGAAATTGTTCTGTCCATCTCCTATATCATCAGGACACAGCACTCTCCTGGTTTTCCTCCCACCTACCTCATGGGCCACACTTTCTCAGTCTTCTTTGCCAATTCTCCCTCTTAACTCTGACCTTGAAATGTTAAGAGTATACCAAGACTGAGGCTTGGATCTCTTCTCTCCTCTAGCTCTGCACACTCCCTAGGGAATCCATTCTGTCTCCTAGCTTTGAAAATCATCTGTGTGCTAAACACTCCCAAATTTATATTTTCACACTGGATCTCTCCCCTGAATTCCAGACTCATACACAACTGCCTACTCAAAATCTCCTCTTGAATATTTATTTAGTCAGCTCAGACTTAACATGGCCAAAGCCAAACTACTGCTCTTCCCCACAGAACCTGCCCCTGCTGGCATCTCCTCCATCCACCAAATGAAACCTCCATCCTTTCAGTTGCTCAAGCCCAAAACCTTGGAAACGCCTAGACTCTTTTCTTCCCTGCACAAGCCACATCCAAACCTATCAGCAAATCTTGTCATGTTTACTTGCATAAAATGTCCAGAATTCCCATTTCTTCTCACCACCTTCAAGCCACTGTTACCTCTCACCTAGATTATTGCAGGAACTTCGTAACTGGTCTCCTTTTCCCCCTACTATCTATTCTCAACCCAGCAACCAAAACGATCTTGTTAAAACTTAATTCAGAACATGTCGCTCTGGGCCGGCCCGGTGGCGCACTGCTACAGTGCGTTGCTTGGGAGCGCGGCGGCGCTCCCGCCGAGGGTTCGGATCCCACATACAGACCGGTTCCCGCTCACTGGCTGAGCGAGGTGCGAGCGCGACACCGAGGGTTGCGATCCCGTTGCCGGACACGAAAAAAGACAAAAAAAAAAAAAAAAGAACATGTCGCTCTAATGCTCAAAACTCCTCAATGGTTTTGCTGTCTCATTCAGAGTCAAAACTAAAGTCTTTTCGATGGCCCTGTGTGATCACCACCATCCCTTCCATCTCCCTGGCCTCACCTCACTGCAGTCATTCCCCACCCACACACCCCAGCCCGTCCCTTCACTGTGCCCCAGCCACACTGGCCTCCTTCCGAGTCCCCTAATGCGGTGAGCCTTTGTACTTGCTGTTCCCTCTCCGTGGATGGCTCCTCCCCCAGATATCTGAATGCCTTACCTCCGTCATTGGCTGCTCAAACACGAAACTGTCCATGAGGCCTCCTTTGGTCACCCTATTTAAAACAGCTACTTCCCTTCGCATTCATTGCCTTCTCTGAATTTGTCTCCATAGTTTTTCTTGTCTGCTACACGACATGCTCTTTGCTGTGCACTCCACCCCTCCCACTAGGATATGGATTCCATAATGACAGAGATTTTTGTCTCTTATTTCTGTCTCTACCCAGAATAGAGCCAGGCACATAATAAGCACATAATTTATGAATGAATGAATGAATGAATGTATGAATGGAATTAGGGAAAGACTTACAGTCCTCAAGAGGCAGCCTGGATCCGGGAAGGAACACCTGACTTCTAGTACTAGCTTTGACACTAGTCATGTGACTCCTGGGTCTCAGGCAGTCCTTTCGTAGAGGGTGGAGTACTCCTGTGGTCCTTTGCAACAGCAGCATTCTAGAATGATGCTTGAGCACAGCCTCACCTGCCTCCATGTAGCTAAGGGTAGAAGGTAGTGACCAGGACAGGACCTGGTGGTGTGGGAAAAGAGAATACTCGTTCTTTCCAGTCAAGACCTGGGCAGAGTCTTTGCTGGCTTTGAAACGAAAGGCAAGTTTCTGGTTTGGACTTGGCAGAGCTCCAGGGGTTCTGGGTGAGGGGGCCAGCCCCACCTGCTGAGTGAGGACAGGTAGAGGCCTGGCCACTAGGCCTGGGCTCCTCCTCATGGGGAATGGGCTCTGGGAGGACACCATGGAGAGTGCTGCTGGAGGAGCAGGAGATGGGAGAAGGGACGACTGGAGAGGGCATTCTGAGTGGATCACCTGGGCATGCATGCAGGCTCTCAGTGGGTGTAGGTGGTCAAGCCTCCTTGCAGACCTCTGCAGGCCCCCAGGCCCTCACAGCCAGCACTGACTCCAGGGCAGAGTGGCAGGCCTTTTGGCTGAGGGAAGCCCAGTCCTCCTCCCTTTTCTAGGCCCTGCAACAGCTCCCTGCTTGTTTTCCCCGAAATAAATGGGCTGAGCATATTGGGCCGGCAATAACCCCTTGAAATCAGTTGTTATCACAGTTAACAACCAGTTTGGCTTCAGTTCAGGCTGTTAACTATCAAACCACTAAGTGCCGGTAATGATTGATTCTTGGCCAGTTGCAGCTTGAGTGGGCTGTAAAACCCCATTAGTGAGGGCTCTGTGGAAGCAGCAACTCAAAGATAAACAAGTTGGTGGGTGCTCTAGCCTGACCCACTCCCACTGCTCTGGGCTCAGCTCCTATGGGTCCTGGCCTGGTGTCGTGCTGGGAGTCTTCCCCTTCCCAAAGCCTTAGGCAGCCTCGAAGACTAGACCCCACCCTCCTGTCCGCATTATTTCTCCTTCCCCCGGCCAGTCAACTCCCTCCTCTCTGTGAGGCAGGTCTGGCTCTCTGGACAGCTCATCTTTTCTCCCTAAGTGCAAACATGGCGGCACAATTCCACCCCCACCACCCTGGAGCATCCTCAGCCTGGGGGCTTGAGGATTAGCTTTGGCCTCACCAGTGACCAGACTTGGCCCAGCCTGGCCCCACTTTGTGGCCAGGATCACAGAAGGAGAGCCTGACATTCCACCACCAACCCCCCAGACTCCCTCCTACCCTGTGGCTTCCCCCAGGAATTGCTCTCAAACAAATGAAATGTGGGTAATTACTGGGCTGGGGGCTGGACAGGCGACCGTGCAGATGAAAGCGTTTCCTGGACGGTCTCTTCATTTGCATGGCATCAGAAGCTGCTCAGAAGGTGTGACTTTTCCCACAGTGAGACCCCAGCTCCTTGCACAATAAAGCCAGGCTGCTCACCCAGAATTAATTAAAGGGGGAGGGAAGCAGAGGAGGAGGCACCAAGAACTGGGGGAGCTGGAAGGGTCCCCATGTCCCCAATGCCTACACACCAGGAGAAATCACTGTCTCCAGAGACCCCACCCCCTGGAGCAGGCCACAAGAACTGGGGTGGACAGACCCTGTGATATCCCTAACCTCTCTGCTCCAAGGCTTTCCACTGAGCCCTGGAACTCCTGATCCACCTGGACGGGCTGAGCCTGGGACTTTGGGCTGCAACTCTGGGAGGCCCACATGGTTAGGAAGCCTTGGGCTGCTCCCTACCCAAATGAGATGGCAAGTGAAGTACCAAAGGACAGAGGCCTAGAGGAAAGAGGTTTCTGGACTGGCCCAGTAGCTGGGTTATGGGAGCAGCCCAGGGGCACCCGCAAAGAAGGCAGCAGAAGCAGCCAGAATGGGAGGCCTCACTTATGAAGACTGGGCCGGCTCTGAGCTCAGGAGACCTGCCTCTGGGCTTGGGTTCTCCCTCCGTGTGGTGTGGTACCAATCTCACTGGCCCACATGCAAACACATGTGCCTTCTCCTACCATGGGCTGGTCCTTGTACCCACACCAGGACCTCTTCTATCGCTACCATGGTATGACTGGCTTGAGTTCTGCTCTCCGCCCATGAGCTTCCCTTCTGGCCCTGCCCCACTCCCAGCTCTTCTTCTGCTAGGCCCTTCTCTCCAAGGGAGGTCGGCTGTGTCTTCCTGGTCAACAGTCTCCTGAGCTCTTCTGCAGCACCTGAGCTCAGCACTTCTGCTCACAGCTCTCTAACCAGATCTTCCAAAGTTAACACTTGTTCCATGTCATGATCATCAACACCAGCCTTGGCAGTCCCCCCCTTCCAATATACTTCCACCTTAGACCCTGGTCACTTCTCCTTTCTTTCATTTTCTAGAGCCTGATTCTCAGAAAGAACCAGTTCTGGAATCACCAAACTGTCTCCCACATAGACCGAGGCACAGAGAGGACTTTCTTACAGACTTGAATCCATGATTGCAGCTCTGGTCCTATCATGTTCATCATTTCTGGCCCTGAGGTAGCCTGGGGATGTGTTAGCAATGACTCCAGTTAAGAGCTAGGAAGCCCATGCCTGAGAGCTCCTAGGACCAGCTAAGAACCTCTTCTTGCTCCTTTCTCTGCTTCTGTCCTCCCGGGAAAACTCCTCCAGTGACAGTGATGGGGACAACTGACAGGCATGGGTCCTTAGAATGGAGGGAGGCTACAGTCAGATCTAGTGCCTGATCTGCTGCATCGCCCAGCCGCCCACCAGCTGGAGCAGGGCAGGGCAGAAGAGGGCTGACCCCAGCTCACTCTCCAATGCACATTTTTAACATGCAAATTAAATAAATATTTCAATCATTTCAAGCAACTAGTACACTACCACCCCCCACTGATACCCACCCCTAGAAGAACTGGCCTATGTCACAACCTTTTCCTCCCTGTCCCACCTGAGAGTGCAGCAGAGTCCCTGGCTGCCTGGCCAGCTGGCCCTGTAGGGGCTGGGGCCTCAGGAGCACCTCCTCTGCTGGACTAGAGAAAGCCCTCCAAGCCCTGGGAGCCCCCAGCCAGAATCTCAGTCTAGGCAAATAATGGGCCTTTCTGAGAGTTAAGAAGACAGACACCACAGCCAAGTGGAATACAAAAATAGAGACTCTCTTTTGTTTAAAAAAAAAATCAAAAACAAAAAACCTAACAGCAAACAATATCGACAACTGGACCCAGGGCTCCCCCAGCTCCTCCCCGGCCTTCAGCAGCACAGATCCCATCTTGCTTGAGTTTCTCTTTCATGCACTCCCACAGGATGCAGACCTCCGTGGTCCGGCCTGCTGGGGAGGGGCCGGGCAGGTGCCTATCGGGGCTCGGGGGCCCAAGTCCTCTGGCTGCCCCGCAGGCTGCGCGTGAAGGGCGGGTAGTTGAGGAACTCGAAGCGCAGGCTCTGCTCGGTGGTGTGGTGGCCGCGCGGAAGCCGCTTCATGAAGTGGACCTCGCGCTGGTGCTGTCGCGTCTTGGAGCCCTTGCGGGGCCGGCCCTTGCGGGTAAAGGCCATGTACCAGCCCTCGTACTTGGCGTTCTGCAGGGCTGTGTAGTTGTTCTCCAGCACGATCTCCGTGAAGACGCAATCCTTGCCTTTGCCGTTGCTCTGCAGGTAGGGGGGCCAGACACGGCGTTACGGGCCCCCCCATCAGAGCAGAGGGCCAGCGGCCCCAGACAGCAGGTGGGCACCCCAGCAGATGGCGAGGTGGGCAGGAGCCGCAGCCCCACCCCCTGCCCGGGCACCCGCTCTCTAATCCCTCACAACCCGCAGCCCACCCGGCAACTTCCTGTCCTCCTGGGCAGCAGTGACACATGGTTGTCTATGGAGGGGCTGGGCCCCAGCGCACCGAGGCAGAGACAGGGGCCCAGGGCCTGCCCGCTCTGGCCGCCTGCCCACCAGTCTGGCGGAGCTGCTCGTACCCGTTTCCCCACCTGCCCCCTCGGCCCCTCAGGACTCCAGCTCCCTGGCCCCACGGCAGCCACCCTACGGGGGAGGGGAGGCCTGTGAGGAGCTTCTGAGCCCCAAGCTCCAGAAGCCCAGGAAGCGGGGAGCTCCAGGCTGGAGAGGAGCGTGACTAATGGGGCCATTTCGGAGCCCGGCTGAGGGGCTGGGCCTGCGGCTTACTGAACATTCCAAATGCTGGTACCATGTAATTGGACATAATAGCAAAGCAATTTGGCGATTTGTTAAAAAGATATATGGAATTTACCAACCGCCCCCCAAGCCCGTTCCTACTCTTCTTTCTTCCTCCTTCGCCTTTATAGCTTTTCATCTCTCAGGCAGCTCCCTTCTTTCTTACCACCCTCCCAATCATTAGGTAACCCCAAGGTGGCTCTGTGTCTCTCTGTCCACCTTGTTGAGATCAGAGCACAAGACTGTCCTGGAGGAGCTCAGCCAGCCCAGCCCACTCCCACGGCCCCAGGGCCCCGCCTTCCTCTGGGGCCTCACCTTGGCAATCAGCTTCCCCTTCTTGTTCATGCAGATGTAGAGGCCCGTCTCGGCTCCTCTTACTCGAACCCGGCTCCCAAAGGTGTCTGTCTCCACAATGAGCTTTGCTGTTGGGAAGGTGGGGGGATGGTTATTGGAAGGTCCTTGACCCTCACTGTTCCACATCCTCATCCCAGCAGCAACTGCTCCAAGGGCCAGGTACCCAGAACCTGGGCTCCAGCCCCAGCCTAGCTATTAATGTGCTGTGCAACCCCAAGAAAGATCAAGTCGCTTTTCTGGGCCTCAGACCCCACACATGGGTGTACAGAGAGGAGTGAACAAGATCATGGTTTGCAAGCTGGGTTCTGCAGAGGGGTCTTGGGGCCATCAAATTGAACAAGCTGAAGCTCCATTTCTTCCACACTCTTTTAAAACTAGACAGTGATGGACTTTAACTTGACCAGAGTTCCACAGCTAATCAAAAAATCTCTAAGGATCCTTTCAACTCAGAATATTAAGTGGGCATGCCTTGCAGACCATTGCCAATATACAGGTGCTGCGGTGACCTCCAGCCCTGAGGCCAAAGGAAAATGCATTCTCTCCTGTTTCTGCCACTTGGGATCCCAACTCACAGCTTTGGGCAGCTCTGCTCTGTGAGGTGATGGGGATGGGGACAGCTCTCCCTACACACAGCCCAAAGTCGTCTGCTTTACCATAACCTTAGACACCAGCTGGGAGAATTCTGCCTCTTCCCCAGAGCTTCCCAGTCACCACAGTCCCCAGCTCCAGTGTCCAGAAATCAACAACTCAATCGTCTTTCCTCCTTCACCCTCCATCATAGCTGGGCTTCTCACCCCAGCGACCAAACACTTTCTGTGGGTGAGGAGGAGAGAAAGCCAGGCGTGTGTGCTTCTCAGTCTGGAAGACCAGGAGGCAGGGGCTGAGTCTGCCTTCTCCCTCACTCCTTCGCCCTTAGACAGCCAACATGCCACAGAAGCCTGTCCTGTCCACCTCTCTGTGCAGCTCCGCTCTTAGAGGCTGTCCCCAAGAAGGAAGCGAGGGCTGACTTAGCCGTTTGGGTGGGAGAGAAGGGGCTGGCTCTCGTCCCCTCCCTACTGCAGAGCCCAGCATTTTGCCTCCTTGAGAAAGCAGTTTTGGGACTCAGCCTGCACTGACATGTGGCTACTTCTCTGTCCCTAAAACCAATGGTGGGGAGGGGGCACTTAGGTCACTGAGGCAGCCCTTGCTGCCTAGCCTGGAAATACACCCACCCTCCCACCCCCTGCGACCTCCCTCACATAGGCACAAAGCTGGGACCCAGTGGCCAAGTCCCCAGTCTGGCCCCAAATCAACCAGGGAAATGCAGCTGTCACCTCCCCTCCCACCCACCTTCCCTTGGACCCAGGCAGTCTGCTCATCCCTTTCCTGGTCTGTTTTCCAGAGCAAGAGATGTCTGCTTTTAAGGGTCAGGAAAGATGCTGGCTTGAGAAGGGTTAGAGGGTCCCACTCTGAGAACTCTGGCTGGTTGGTCGGGGCAGATAGGAATGGGATCCCTATCCTGGGGCCCATAAAGAAGCAACTGGGGCCTCTGCTGTTCTCCCCCAGACTCTTCCTGCCCTGACTGCACACCCTAAGCCTCCACTCTTGGGTCACTGGTTTCTATTCCTGCCCTGCAGGCAGTGACCAGGGCACCTGGGAAGCCTCCTATAAGGCTAAGGAGAGAAGTGGGCATCAGCCTCCTCTGATGTCTAGAGAATAATTCCCCCACCACCAGCTTGGCCTCCCCTTCCCTCCCCCAAATCCAAGGATGCTGGGCCATTTGCTCCAATGGAGCAAGCCCCGGAGGAGCCAGGCATTCGTTCCCTTTCCTTGGAAGCTGAGAAGGGCAGCAAGCAGCCAATTTGGAGGGACAAAGGGACCGTAGACCGGCCCTGCCAGCCCAGCAGGGGAGCTCGGCCACCGGGCAGGCCGCCCCCACCCCCACCGCACAGAGCCCCCCTCTCCTTCCCGCATGGGTCTGGGGAGCTGGGGCCGCAGCTTACAGCGGCTTTCCCAACCGGGCTTTTGGAAAGCTTAACATTTTCAAACCTATTCTTCCACCCCAGTGACAGATTTATCCCAGGAAAATTATGTCTCCTCCTCCAGCTTTGAAGGGAAGTCAGCTACGTCGATGCAGAAAAAATGCAGCGAGACATACTCGATCCCCCAAACTGGCTCACGAAGAGGAGAAAGTATTCAGGAAATGTTAAAAAAGGTGAAAGTAAGAAGAGTTTTAATCGCTCTGCCAGACGCGGGGGTCTCTCCAGAGATTCATAGAGAACAATCTCGAACCTCTTTTTTAACATTTACAGACTTGCGACTCCTTTCAAACTCCACATCTGAAAAAAGGCTCGTTCTTTTTCTGTTTTATATCATTCTTCATTTTTCTTCTTAGCTCTTAAAATGCCTCACCTTTTTATTACATTTTAATAGAGTCTTCCCCTCTCCTTTCATGCTTGTTTAACTTGGTCATTATTTAAAGGTTTTTAAACTCACAATAATCGCTCTCTAAAAACAACGCCAGCCGCCCAGAGGGCTTGCTTTTCTCTTGATACATCCAGGACTCTGGAAATTGGCCCCGTTTCAAGGCAGGAATATTGAATGTTTTAGAAATCAATCAGTCCGCAGCCGGCTCCGGCGGCAGTAGCTCCCCGCACTCACCACCCCACAGGGAGCCGGGAGCCCTGCCCCGACGGCCTGGCTTCCTGGGCGAACGGAGCAGGGAGGTCCCCTTGCCAAGCCTAGTCCCCATGTGTAATTGACCCTTCTAATCAAAGCATGTAAAGGTTCACAGTACCCCCCCTTCCTAAGCTGGGAGAGTTGGGGGATTTCTCTCTCTTCTCTTTCCCTCTCTCCTTTTGTGGGCCCTGGCGACATATCCTCTTTCAAGAGCTTCCCTTAAACCTGAGCCCCCTCCCTCTGAACCCCCTGCCTCCACCTGCAGCTGGGGAGGGGTGTATGAAGGGGGAGGTGTAAAGGGAGATTCCTGGATTCATTCATTGGCTGGGCAGGGAAGGGGGCACCCGAGGGCCAAGTACTCCCCAAGGTCCCTTCCCCAGCCTCTCTCCTCCAGCTGACCCTCAGACACCTTTTGGTCTTAGTTCCTTCCCTTCTGAGCTGGAGAGCCTGCAGGCCTCTGGCCAGCGCCGTGGGAGCTAGTGGTCCCGTCCCAGCAGGCCCGCAGGAGCCACATGGTCCACAGGCTACCTTCACTCTGACGTGGTGCCAGGGCAGCGCGCCTTACCAAAGGGGTCGCCGTCCTCCGCCATGGCGTTGATGCGCTTGTTGGCCAGGACCTGCACGTGCTTCCCGCTGGTGCGGCTGTAGAGCTGGTACGTCCGGATGAGGCGGCGGCTGAGTTGATCCGTCACCAGGCTCTGCTCCCTCACATGCTGTGTAAAATTAGGTGAGGACTGAACAGTTACCTTTAGGAAATTGAAAAATACACAACACGCCATTATAATGCTACTCCGCCCAGGGGCCCAAGTGGCCCCCATCGCCCCGCACCTCCCTCCACTGCCCCAGGCAGCCAGTAGGGGATGGAGGGTTTCCCCCAACATGCCGGCTCAGGCCACCATCCCCTGCCCAAGAAAGTCGGGCAGACCCAACCCAGGATGGATGAGCGCGGGATGGGGGAGAATCTGGACCCACCTGTTGGGAAACACCCTGGGGCTCCCGGCCAGCTCGGAACAGGGAAGCGATGTCCCTGCCCAGCGCAGGCCCCCCGCCCGGGCCTTCCTAGAGGAGCAGGGCGCTGTTAGTACGGGGGCAGCGCTCCCCGACCCGTGACATTTATAAAGACAGATTTATGGGGCAAATGTTGAGGGCGCGGAGGGCCTGGGGACCCGATCGTTCCCCCAGAGGGCCGCGGAGAGGGTCCCTGCCCCGTCACCCCGACTTCCCCTGACAACCAGCGTCCCCTGATCCCGGCCGCCCCCTTCCTCAGCGGCCAGACGTGGCTTCCCGTCGAGCCCCCATCCACCCCGCCTGGCTGGGGTGCATGGGAGACAGCGCTGGACTCCGCGATCTTGGGTTCTAGATTCGCCACTCACTCGCTGTGTGACCTGAGGCAGAGCGCTACCTCTCTGTTCCTCAGCTCCCTCCTCGGGCAGTGCGGGGCTGGATTGCTAGCGTTCCTTCCAGCCCCGCCGCGCGGGGTCGGTCCTCGCGTCCCGGCCCGCCCTCGCC